TAATATTTTTAATATTATAGAATCATAAATTTTAAAAAATTTATAATGTTTGAAATTTGGATCCAACTGTTATCTGCACTAAATTAAAGAAGATGTAATTTTTTAAAGTTCTAATTAGTTGAACCATGATCATGTACAGCATGCATGTTAATTAGGAAAAATAGCATCTTCTTCAATTTTGGAAAAGATGACAATTTGCTCCAAACATTTTAGAGAATTTTTTACTTTATAATATTAAAAATAAGTTTGATGATAAGAGTTCAAATCTCTATGACAACTAAATATTAGAATTGGTAGTTTTATTTTTATTTTTTCCCTCGTTTTAGATTAAAAACTTTCTTATTCCATTATATATATTTTTTGCCGGACTCTTATTCCATTATATAAACTAGATTTTTCCAGAAATGTTCATAGTTCATTAATGGGCGAATTTCATGGGTAGTCATCCAACTCTATCAAAATCAACATTTTTGGTTATTCAACTCATAACTCTAACAAAACAAATAGTCGCGTAGGATATGACGGGCATTAACTGATGAATGGTTGCAGGTTTCTTTAATCCTTCACTATTTCATGCACCAAGAAAAAACACACACACACATATATATATATATATATATATATATGCGTTGAAAGATGACAGAACTCTATGGAAGAAAGACATGGTTGAAGGGAAGTGATCGATTGTGGCTGGAAGGAAAATTTCTGCAAAAATCAAAGGAATTTGGGGAAAATCAAAGGTAAATTCCGTTTCAATTCAAGGTGTCTTGGGTGTAGAAATAGGAAATTTAAAAGATGAGAGGGGATTATGGGTGAAAGCTAGTAATTTAAAAGATGTTAGGGTTTAGGTATTCCATCTTTTTCTCTTCACCTCAAAAGATTTTCTGGGTGTTTCAGGAGTTGAAAGATGGTAAATTCGTGGAGGAGAAGGGAAAATCCAGAATTTGTCCCTGATTTTTAAGGCAAAAATACAGTATTTCTTTAAGAAAAAAAAAGAAAAAGAAAAAAAGAAACCAATCAAAATTCAGAGAACTTGAACCCTCCCATCCTCTTTTATCCTTGATTGCCTTTGTAATGTTGGGTAGGATTGTGAAAGTGAGGTGAAGAAGTTGTTCCTGCTGTATCACTGGAATCCCTGAACTGTAATACTCACATCAATCCTATCGCAGGTGATTTTCTGAAGCTTTGAATCGACTTTCCTGTTTTCTGAATCTTGTACTGTGTTTTTGTTTTCGATCTTGATGATTCGATTCTTCTGCCTGTTCTTGTTTAGTTTTGAAACTCGTTTCTAAGATTTTTGGCATTTTGTAGAACTCACACCTTAAATTTTAACTATAAGAATATATAGCATCTTGTGAATGCTTTCGATTTCTATGGTTCCATGCAGTTTTACTTCTTTGTGTTGTGATTTCAAACCTGTCCCATTTTGTAGAATTCATAACTTAAATTCACATAGAAGCGTCTAATTGTGGTAGTTATTAATTTGGTTGTAGAGATAAGGCTGCAGTAGAGTGGTCATGGATTGGCTCAGTGCTTCTGCACATCTTGTGATAGTTTCTGATCTTGTTCATACAATTAATGGTACGTTTCATAAATTCTTGCTTCACTTCGGAGTGATATTGTTCTCGTATTGCTCTTAGTTACTTTAATTGGACATGTTGCTCTTTCTGCAGGTTGATCATCATGATGTTGAGAATCTATCCCTACTCTGCATGCTTTATATATCATGCCCAGGTGAAAATAAAAAGTCCCTGGTAGTTTGGAGTGTTGGCTGATGGATTAACTTGAGTATAGGTATGGATAGAAGTATATAGGTTTTATTGTGAAAATTAGGAAAGCAAATTTATCCTAAAACAATAAACTGAAGAAAACTTTTAGCTTAAATGCTTGACCAAAATGTACTTTATGTAGCTGTACCTAGAACCAGTACTAAGACTAAGTTACATTTTAGAGCTACTTTGATTGGAACCTATTGACATTTTGCATAAACTTTTATTGGTTTTTTTTTTTATTTAATGAATCCATTAAGAAATGCTGTTTCCACTTTTCGTTTCTTGTTGGAATACTTTATGATCTATGTTCAGAAAGAACAACCAATTTTAATTCCTCTTTATTCAGGATCCATCTGCTGTAATTGTCCATCCATCTGGTGTTGAGAAAACTCTACATGAACGCATACATGAATTGAAAGGGTGGTATGGAGACAAGCAGGGAAAAAAGTTTCGGGTTTGGGTGCATCGTGTGTTATCTACACAGATTGGTTCAAACACATGGCTGGTGAATTTCGATAAGTGGGAGCAGTGTGGTGAGATTTCTTTATATGCTCTTCTATATCTGCCCAATCTCTGCGTCTTTTCAATTTAAACTAGATGTCATATCTATGCTAATTCATCTACCTTTCTTGCATTCATCTCTTTGTGGATATGGTAGTAAATGTCTCTCCAACTTGGAAGACCAGTAACAGGAATTTGCATGTGAACATAATTGCCTTTGAACCCTTGATTTCCTTTTTAGTATATTTATATCGAGAGCAATCCATGGGTGGTTCTTAATCTGATAAATGTTGCTTTAGAACAAAGGATTGTTTTAAACCTTATCAAAGACTTGGATGTCATAGCATTTCAAGAATCCCAAGACTACAGTCCCAAGGGTTAACTTGTCATCTAAATGCTTCATTTTACAAATTTTCCTTTAGAAAGAAAAAACATTTTCAAATTCAGATATTAGCTGTCGCTTGTAATATAATTATACCCCAGAGACTGATTACAAGGTAGCTCATACTTAGGGCTGTTGCTAAGAGTTAGCTTTTGTACCGATATTCTTGTGCTGACTTTTGTAGGTAATGTGCGGTGCTGTTGTGCAACCACTGGAAAGATCAGTGCTAAGGTAAGAAAACTAGAACATTATAATGTGTAAACCAATATTTCGAAATGATTTGCTTAGATGATTGATTGTGGATTTCAGGAGGGCGATGGTTCACCTTGATGCATGTACAATAGACGTAGCTGCAAGGATCAAAAATGAAAGATCATTCAGCCTGGCTGTTCTAGATTGATATCAAACACTATCCCTGAGCTTTCCAGCTCCAGAGTATTCTTCAGTATTCAATTGAAGTAAATGTACTAATGATGCTAATATTTCTTTTTTTGTATAAGACTATACAGAGTCACAAAATATCGGAGGTCATTCCCTTCGTAACTTTAAGTAATAATCATTTACATCTCTCTTTTTTAAGAACAATTTTCAGTTTTATTCAGTTGAGTTTAGAAATATGTATATAGATCAAAACCTAAAGCTTTGTTTGGGTTAATGGTATACGCGAGTCCAATCATATTTTGCCACCAAAGAGTCCATTCAGTCTAGCTAATAATTTGAATTTGAATAGAAAATTAGGGATCACAAAGATAAAAGCGAGCTTTTCTAGCTTTTGGGGATTCATGGATTAAAAACCAATTTGCGTCTGTAACACATTGTTTTGAAAGGGCTCACTAGTACCACATTCAACTAGTATTCTTCTTTCTGTGTGCAATTAAATGAAAAATAATCAAACTCAAAAATAAATCGAGCACTAACAAGAAAAAAAATTATCACCTCCACAAAATCAAGACACTAGATTTTTTAATGTGAAAACTCTTTAAGGGTAAAAAAATCATAGGCCCTAGCCCAGTAAAAAAAGAACCACTATAAAAATAGGATTATTACAAAGTTTCATTTTCTTTAGGAAACACTAGAAGTTGTACACAACAATAAATCATCAAGAATAAATTGTTGGATAACTAATGTCATAATCATCACCAAAATAAAGCTGGAAGTCAAAATCTCCAATCAAATTGGGAACCTCATTTAGCGTGCTGAATGTGTATCAAAAGGAATTGTGACCAAATCACTGTTGATCATCTAGCAGAACCATAACTCCACCAACTTTCCTGCTGCTGATGCAACTCACTCTCACTGTCCCGCTACTGTCTTTTACAATGTTGATCAAAACCAACCATTGGCCGTTATTTAAAGCTCCACTGACTTGATACATTCAAAGTCCAAGCTCTATGCAGTTCGTGTATGCATTCATGAAGAGTTTTCTCAACACCAGATGGATGGATACGTATAGTAGAAGAATCTTGAAGAAATAAGAAACTAAAATAGTTGGTTAACATGGTTGACTATGGCATAAATTAGCCAAATAATAAGTTCTCCTATAACTAACAACTTGATTTAAAATTTTAAAACTTGTGCATGTTAAAGGATTAAAATGTGACGATGCACCTGGAAATGATTTCTGCATAATGCTGCCTTGAAGCTTTACTCCATCCACCCTTATTTATATCCTCAAATTGTCCTTGATTTAGGGAATTGGTCAAGGGAAGTTACTAGAAAAACTCAAAAGAAAATCCATGCCCTGCAAAATGAATTAAAGCATAGCATTATCTTGATGAAATGATAAAGAATCACTCTAAACAATTGAGGGATGAGAAAGTAAACCCTGCCTTACGAAAGACGGCATTCTTTGGAGGGTAGAAGATTATAGCTGCAAGCGTGCAACTATGACAAATTTGTAAACACCACCATTTTTCACCAAGTTGTTAGAGCAAGTCAGCCCATTGTTAAGTAAAGCAGCAGTGTTTGTGCTGCAATCTTGGTTGTGACTTAGGATGAATAAAGACAGAACACAGCACACATTGTTGCATCATTCATTTTTGACTCATCATACTGGAAGCATCATCTCCCACATGAAAAGCAACATTAATGTCAAAGCATCCAACACCTACTTGTTGAAGAAAGATCTTGCCTAAAAAGGAAGGCTTGAACTTGGAATCTTGGATCAATCACCTTTTAACTAATCCTGTAGTTGAGTTGAAAAAGGTAAAGGATTTAATCAGTTGCCATAAGATTTAAGACATGAACTGAGTTGGACGTTACACAGTAGTAGGGAAGCAATCACTAAAATTATGGGAAATGTGAAATGAATAAGAAGAGATGGGGATGGAGGCAAATAAGGGAACGTGTGGGACACTAACTTCTTGATATCTACCTGGTCTCCATGCATTATAATCAAAATTAAGATTAGGAAAAATGTTATACAAATAGCTGGTAAAACAAATACAAGTCAACAAAAATCAATTAGAATCGAAATGAGCAAGCACATGATATTTTTTTTTAATCAGCAAATGAAATTATTAAATGGGGTAAAAGCAGTACCCTACAACTTAAAGTATGCTCATAACTTCTGGCACACAAAAGGAAAAAGGGAGTCACAAAACCAAGGGGTCCTACATAGGCCTAACAAGATTTTGCTATCTTCTCTGCACAAGCAACTAGGAACATGAAAAAAAGGATGAGAAATTAGGAAAATCAAAGGCTAGACTGAAATTTGAGAAAATAATTCATTTAGAGTTTGAAGAAGACAAAAAGCATCAATTGCAACATAGAAAGGAAGGATGGATAAGTGAATTGCTGAACTGAAATCGAAGTAAAATAAAAGCACAATGCTATAGAAATCTATAAGACTTGGAAAAGAAAAAATTAGTAGCAGAATAAATGACAGAAATTTAGGCAGTCTTTAACACAACATATAGGTATTAATCAGGAGAAGGAAGCAATGGGAAATAATCATTTTATTCCAAGGCAGCTAACATCATAGATAGCAGAGGAATAGACTAGTATATCATCATCAAAATGTATTAACTTTGTTCTGGTAAAATGAAGTATAGAGATAGCCTAATATATCATTTTTGATTCCTTATCCTAAACAACAACAATAGCAAAGCAAATAGGCATCACAATAAAATTTTAAAGAGGTAGTTTGGATACTTATGGGTAAATTCTGCTTTCCCAAATAAAAAACTTGTAAAACTGTAGCTTGGCTTAGTCAGATTACAAGCTTGCTTAATTCAGCAGAGATCATCCACATTCCAGTTCCAGCTTACAGAAAAATCTCATTTGAACATCAGCAACTCCTTGTTTCAAAAATCTTCCCAATTCTTCAGAATGGAAATCATTAGCTCTTGTAGTAATTGAATTTAAAATTGAAATTGGTTGACTTGCCTAAGAACATCATTTTGCAAGCAGCAAGCTCCTTCGTGGTTGTGAATTTCCATAATGCCAAGGCCCACCACTCATCCCCTTTGAAATAATCTGAAAGCGTAAGCCATTTTTGAGGCAAGTGAATGCATGCATGTTTTCAGAGGAAAATAAATTTAAGGTGGATAATAAATAGTATATAATAATATATAGCTGATGAATCCAAGGAATGAATGAAGTACTAGTAACATTGAAGAGTGGTTTGGCTTTCTTTACCTCAACAATTGGTTTTAACAAGCTAGATAGCTATTGTGGTCAACCTGCGTAAAATGGATTTGCAACGCATATATATAAGAAAAAGCAGCACAAGTCAAAGAAAAGTGTTATCTATATATACTGAATATTAAAGATTGTTTTAAATTGTCATATGAAAAGCATAAAATGGTGATGCCACTTTCAGTTCACACCAAGGTCTTATTACCTCATTGTCATCTAATTTAACCCTGGGGATGCCACAGGTGAGAGTCCAGTAGTCTCCTTTCACCTAAAAGCGCTGTCGTTTTAGAAGCGGACACCCCCTGATGTATAGTTCTCCAAGTGAGGGATGGAAGGCTTCCTTCGGCAAAGATCGTAGCTTCGGGCAGTCAATTATCCATAACTCTTCAAGGGAGCTTAGGTTTTCAAAGAGCCCCTCAGGTATGGATTTCAAATTTTCATCCCAGATCTTCAGAGAGGTTAAAGAAGAAGGCAGCACAATATCCAGAGGGAATTTCTGCTTAATTTCTAACACTTGAAGAGACGTAAGGTTTTGAAGGCCCATTGTCAAAGCCCCACCTGGGAATTCTAGTCTGTGAAGTGAAGTGAGCTGGTACATTGTATTCGGCACACACTTAAGATTCTCACACCCTCCTAAATAAAGATATGTTAAGTTTGGGGGCCAACTATCATCTGGAATGAACTCGATGCTGAGGCAGCCTGTCATCCATAGAAATTCAAGAGATTTCAACTGGTATATTGTATTTGGGAGGGATTTCAAATTCTTATAGCCGTATATCGTTAGCTGCTTAAGATTGGGAGTGCATAACCCCAAGTCGTTTGGTAAGGACTCTAAAACGTCATAGCTGTAAATTTTTAAATAAAGGAGATTGCTGATGCAATTAATGGTGGGTAAACTTTTCAATATTTTACAATCTCTAATATAAATGCGTCCGAGTTTCGTACAATATTGCAGCACCCTCTCTGGAAATGATTCCAACCACTCGCAGCCATGAACTTTAAAGTCCTTGAGAAAAGCCGATAGTTGGTGACAACCCTCAAAAGAATACAAACATGGAACATTCGCTATCTCCAAATCTAGATTGCTATTATTAACATCACGATCAGCATCCGGTAGAGACCCCAGACCTTTGCAGTCTTTTATACTCAAGTATTTGAGTGTGATGGGTAATTTGCCTCTTGGAAAAGACTTGAGAGAATCACAACCCCCAATTTCCAACTCTTCCAGTCTCGACATCAACATACTAGTGTTGCTGCTACTGCTTCCATCCATCTTCACCATCATTGCATCAGGTAATGACTCCAAAGCTCCACATCCCACAATGCTAAGATGTTTAAGATTGAAAGGCAAGAGGCTTTGTTCTATTTTTGTCCTTTCCTCCCATAAACAAGTAAGATCATTGCAATTTACAATATCTAGAGTCTCAAGTGCTGTCAAGGATTGTGTAAAACTCTTAGGCAAGCAAGTCAATTCTGAAATTTTCTCAATTCTCAAGTTGGTGAGGGAAGTGAGGTCAACCATACTCTTCAAAAGCACCCCGTTGCAGTCTACAATATGCAACTCTTTCAATGATGGAAGACTCATACTCGTAGGCAAGCAAGTCAGTTTTAAAATTTCCTCAATTGTCAAGTTAGTGAGGGAAGTGAGATCAACCATGCTCTTCAAAAGCATTGCATTGCCCAATCTAACATCCAATTCTTTAAGTGAAGAAAGGTTGCTGGGGAATTGGCCTAACAACTTAGGACAATTTTGAATCACAAGCCTACAAAGACAAGGGAATTCACCTTCACTTCTAGTTGGAGAAGTCCATTCCTTCCAATTTAACATGTTTTCAAACATCAACTCCTCTAGTGATGGAAAACAATCTTGTCTCCCATAAAACTCAAAACCTACAGCTTTTATTGCCTCATTTCTCACAATTGTTGAGCTCCATCAATGATAAATTGAAAAATAATAATGGATCACAAACCCAAGGAAGGAGATTCTCACCACCATAGCAAGAAATTTTAAGATTTTTCAAATTTGAATGAGGTTTTAACCAACTAAGGACTTGCATTTCAAGGACTGATTCATCTCGATCATTATCAGAAGTAGTCCCCTCCAGATCATTAGCAGAAGTAGTCTACTCCAAGAGTAACTCCTGCAAACCATGGATCTTGTCTAAGTTGGCCTCCCTAGCATCTTGAACATCTAAATCATTCTACAGATCTAGAATAGACAGTTTTCCTCGAAGTTGTGACAAGTTCTTCAAATCAGATAATCTCATCATTCCACTTGCCTTCGCCACCATAAATTTGGACAGTGTTACAAGATTTTTAAGATTGCGTATTCCTGATGGCATCTCTTTTAAAGATGGTGTATCAGTGATATCAAGATGATGGAGATCAATTAGATTCCCAATCGTTGCAGGCAACTTAGTAAGCTGATCACAACCATGTAATAATAGTGTTTGCAGGAAAAAAAGATAACCCACTGATTCAGATAGACATTTGATTTGCGTATTAGACAAATCAATATATCGAATATGTTTCAAATTTTCAAAAGAATCTGGTAGCTTGCTTATGTGATAGAAATAGAGAGACAACACTCTTAAGCAATTCAAATTTGGTAGGAAATCATGCAAGATTTTATTGGACAAATAGAAGTAGGGATAGTAATTGAGCTCTCTCAATGGCAAGAATGTTCTCAAATGCTTCAATTTATCCAACACTATGAATCTTTTTGAGATTTCATACCAGTGTGGAGTGAATGACAAATGGCGAGCCTTCTCTAATTTTTCATCATCCATATTACGCCCAAGATTGTAATATATTTCTCCAGCAACATCTATAGCTAAATCATTTAGGAGGTCATGCATCACAAACCGTGATTCAACTCTACTAGATTGTTGAAAGAGTGATCTTGATAGCAACTCTTGGAAATATTGATGACCAATCTCTTCTTCCATTTGCTTTTTTCCATGTGACTATTGCTGTAACAAGCCCCCAGCCATCCATAATAGAACCAACTTCTCTTTGTCAAATTCATAGTCTTTAGGGAACAAAGCACAATAAGCAAAGCATAGCTTCAAGTGAGAAGGAAGATGATTGTAGCTCAATCTTAAAGCAGGAAGAATTCCACTTTGATCTTCTGATGAACTCCATATCTCACTATTTAATATATTTTCCAACTCATCACGACATAGTTTTCCCTGTAAGACGCCACCGAGTGTTTTTAGTGCCAATGGCAATCTTTTGCACCTCTTAGTAAGCTTCTCACCAACATCTTGTAGGTTTGGGTGGGCATCAAAGTTCTCTTTCCCCAGTGCATGATGTGTAAATAATGGCAAACAGGCATCCTCTTATAGCAATTCTAAATTGTAAACTCCATCATCTCCTCTCATCATCATCCCAACATCCTTATTTCGAGTTGTGACAATTATTCTGCTTCCAGGAGCTCCTGACATGAAGGTCTCTTCAAGACATCCCACTGGCCATATTCCTTATTCCAAACATCATCTAATACAAGAAGAAACGTGTGCCCAGATAACTCCACTTTCAATTTCTCTTGAAGCAAAGCAAAATTTTCAAAATCATGCTTTTTCTTAGTAACATGTTCCAAAATGTTTCTTGTTATTCGAGCAACATCAAACTCATCAGAAACACAAACCCATGCCTTCAAGTCAAACCTGCCTTTCAGTTTTTCGTCATTGTAAATGAGTCGAGCAAGAGTTGTCTTGCCTAGTCCACCCATTCTGACAATGGGAATAACAAAGTCTTGTTCAAGACTACCTCCATCTTCTAGCAACCTATCAAGAATAGCTTTCTTATCACTATCTCGACCACACACATGATCTTCAAGAATTGTAGACTCGTGAGCTCTTTTGGCAGCTACTTTGTGAGAAACGTCTTCAGCTTTCATGGTCAAATTGAAAAGGCCCAAAGTATGCATCCCCTGTTCAATACATTGTAATCTAACATTCAAATGATTCACCATGGAATTGATTTGTCCATTGGGCTTGGCCTTAGATCTAAATAAACTCTTAAGACTGGATTTGACTTTCTGCCCCTTACTAGTGCTCGCTTTAGATTTTACAATCAATTCAGACCTCTTGGCATCAATCACAAACTCTTCAAGTAAGTCCTCCATATCATAAGCTAAGTTCCTGAGATCATCAAAACATGACTTCACGAATTGGTTGGCGACTTGATTCTCTTCTGCATGTTGAAGTACAGTAGTGATTTTGGGCAAAAGAGTCTTCCAGCTCTCCACTTGCACACGTACCTCCTCCTTTGAATTCTGTAGTTGACCACTTAGATATCCATCCAACTTTTTGAGTAGCAAGTCAAATGTAGTGGATAAAAGAGAACCTCCAACAAGAGATAAGACCTCCATTGGATAAGAAAGCTTTTCTACAAAAGAGAAAGAGAAATGGATGGAAGTATAAATTAGATTAATCTATTGAATACCTCACATTCATTTGACTATCATCAAATTAGTATTTTATGCTAATGGATTGATTTAATTAGTTTCGCGTGTTGGTATTGAAAATAGCAAAGAAGATATAAAGAAAAAAAAATCAAAATATATACCATGGATTTTGATTTAGATCTTCAAAGAATTGAAGAAGTAAAGATATCGATTAGAAAGTATTATTATATATACACATACCTTAATTAGCTATGTTGTAACTACTTTTCCTTTCTCAGTGATGCTTAAAGCTAAAAGTTGTTGGGTTTTATAGTGAGACTAATTAAGCTTAATTTGATAGAATATTGAGAAATTTGTGTCAAGGAAATAAAATATTAAATAGAAAGAGACAATAAAACAACAATTAGGAAAGAAATTTTAATTATTGTTATATTAATTAAATACGGACTTTAATTAAGAATAATTAGATGTTTCAATGAATTAAAACATAATTAATAGAAAGTTTTAAAATAAAAATATATTTAAACAGTATTAATTAAAACACCTAACATTCTCTATCTGATTTGGTCAATATAATGGTATATATAGAGATTGTTCAATGTAAAAAGGAAAAAAATAATAACACACTCATGGAAATAATGATCTAAAAAGATATATCTATCAAAACACCTAATATTATCTCTCTAGTTTGGTCAATATAATGGTATATATCAGGCTTATTCAACGTAAATAAGAAAGAAATAGTAACATACTCATAGAAGTAATATCCGAAGAGATATATCCATCACAAGATTACAAAGAACCAAAGAAAACATATAGTAAAATGAAATTTGAGTAAAAATAATTTAGCCATCTATTAGTTGGGGATTAATTAAGAAGCATACCTTTGCCTTAATGCTCAAAGCTGGAAGTGCGAGTGGAGATATTTTCTAGAAAATAGCTACAAGGATGGAAGAGTAGCACAAGAAGAGGATGGGAAAAAGAGAGAGGCTGTGGGTGGTAGAAGGGGCTAAAACCAACATTTAGCCCCTCACCTTACAAAATTGATAGGTTTTAGCTCCTAACTTTATAATTTGACATTTTAATCTTTTACCTTACAAAGTTGGTAGGTTTTTGCCTCTTACCTTATATTATGGCACTTTTAACCCCTTATTTGTACAAATTGAAGAAAATAGCCCTTATTTAACATCAGATTTTAATGTTCTATTAGTTCTGTTAGTTGACTGTCAGTTTTATTAGCTGACTGTTAGTTCTGTTAGTTAACTGTTAGCATCTGTTAGTATTCTGTTAATAAAACTAACAAATAAAATTGAATTTAAATTTCATATTTTTTTATAATGGAATGCTAACAGATGTTAATAGTTAACTAATAGAACTAACAGAACGTTATAACCTGATATTAGGTGAGGGTTATTTTCTTTAATTCATATCGGTGATGGGTTAAAAATATCATAATATGAGGTAATGGGTTAAAACCTACCAACTTTTTAAGGTGGGGAGCTAAAACTTACCAACTTTGTAAGATAAAGGGCTAAAACTGTCATATTATAAGGTGAGGAGTTAAAACCTATAAACTTTGTAAAGTGAGGGGCTAAATGTTGATTTTTACCGGTAGAATGAGACTGATGAAGTTCTGAGAGAGAATATTTAGGCTAATATGGTATGTAAAATGACTGATTTGAATTTGATGCTAAAAAATAGTTAATCACATATCCACTACTGCATTATATATTGGTAGTATAAATTAATTATTATTAAATAAAATTTAACACTAATATAATGTTAAATTAATTGTACATATGATAAAAATTAAATTTAAAATCTCAAGCTCGAAATTATTCTAAATTCTTAACAGGTTGTTATAAGATTATTATTTTTATTTTTTTAAGAATAAAATAAATAAACATAAAATTATTTTAAAATTTTAACTACAAAATTAAAAAAAAAACTATTATTTTAAAATATGAAGAGCATAAAACATTAAACAAACATTTTATCTGAAAAAAAAACCAAAATTTGAACTTCTTGGAAATCAAATTACATCTGCCAGTACTTTCTAATATTGGAGTGATATTGATATGTTTTTCTTCAATAGGGTTATGATGGTCATTGCATGGACAGAATATAGACACAATAAAGGGATTGATACCATCAAGATGCGGTTTGCTTTATATAATATGGGTCTTACAAATAATCAACACGCGATTTGCTTTAAACGAATGTCCAAAAAATATGGGTCCTACAAATAATATTGTCTCGAGATTGCTGTATTCACTAAACTCACTGTCCTCACTGTTTTTTTTTTT